ACAGTGGCCTCACCGCCAGCCAGCCTTTAAATAGGGCTTGAAAACACAAGCTACTATTAAATCATTATCACTGGCCGTAATGGAATGTAATCGGCACGCCTTAAATGGTCTACTCGCTCTCTAAGTCAAAAATGGATAAAAACAAATAAAAAAGGAACAGGGTTAGCGGGTACGTTCTGGTTAAGGGATCAGCATTGTTTCTCACTCCTGGGCAGACGAGGGAACAAGAGTAGTCACTCGACAAGGAGCCTGTACGACTCCGGCATGTTAAAATATTTAGGGTCCGCCTGGGTCTCTGAATATTCATGAGCCGTCGTTCTCATCATTCAATTGTGGATGACACAGCAGCGGTGTCCCCGGAGTGTAATCCGATTCTACATGTTCTTGCTTTATTTTCTAATAAAGCAAGGGGCTTTGGGCAGATTTTGGTTTGGAGGGGAAGCTGGCTGCTACCAGAGCTTCTTTGAAGCGAGAGGGATGGGACAGTTTCAGCCATGTCACGAGAACTGAATGTGAAATCATGACCTCAAGCCAAAGCTGCTCGTCTACATTGGGTCCATGCATGACTATAGCTCAGGCTGAACAGTACATGATGCCTTCTCTTATCGCTCTTGCTGTGTCACTTTCTAGATTTTTCCATGGGCCAGACTTTCCAAACCATCAAATATAAAATTATATGTTCTCCTGCAATTTTGTTATTACCTGAGCAAATATATCTCAACTTCTTTCAGACAGTGGAACTGAAAACTAGGCTGACTGGCTGCCTGAAACCACATACTACTTTTTGAGATACTACAATATGATATGCTTGTTTCTGAGTCGAAACCGGAAAGGGTGAGTTTAAGTTAGGACAAAAGAACCTCACCCTGGCCGTGATCAGCGAACAATAGACTAAGTGAACATTTAGAAAAATGCATTTGTGTGTAAGAATTTAGTTTTGATGAGTGACTCAAAAGGAATCCCTTCATACCCACCAATATAAGGGGAGAATGGCTTAATTTAAATGAAACCCACACCCAAACACACTCCCAGGATCTACTGAACAGGTAATCAAATGGCTACCCGGACTATTATCATTGACCTGTTATTGTATTTTTTTGCACCGACTCTTGCACTGGCTCTACGCACACTCACTGGACTCTACTCACACACATTACACTGACACTTCAACACACACACACTCCACATACGCTGCTGCTACTCTGTTTATCATCTATCCTGATTGCCTAGTCACTTTTACCTCTACCTACATGTAGATATTACCTCAACTACCTCGTACCCCTGCACATTGACTGTCAGTACTCCTTGTATATAGCCTCATTATTGTTATTTTATTGGGTTAGTATTTTCTATTTTATTTAGCAAATTTTTCTTTTTAACATTGTTGGGAAAGGGCTCGTAAGTAGGCATTACACAGTAAAGTTGACACCTGTAGTACTCGGCGCATGTGACAAAAAATATCAAATTGATTTGCTTATTTTGAAAAGGTATCCTAGCAACGAGCTCCCAGCTGAGGTGTGGAGTGCAGCAAGCTTATCAGGTAACAACATCCTTGGTCTGCTGCACTCTGAGTCTCTCTGTGTTTACCTTACCCTAGGTCCCAAGTTTCACTCAGCGCTGACCAGCCCACAGCCAGAGATGAAGGGGGGCAGAGTAGGCCAGGGGTGAAGGGGGAGGAGGACCAGAGCTGGCCAGAGCCGGCTCTACAGGAGACGACCTCAGGTTTCAGGGAAAATAACCATCCAGGCCCCAAAACTCAAACAAACAGTCAAAGTGCTGACTGGCTGGAGGATGTCTACCGGCATCTGCTTAATGCAGTCAGGACTAGACAGGGCTGTCAGAAACTATTGAGAAGATCTCAAGAGTATGCCTCTGACATGACAAACACAGAAGCGCTTTGGACACAGCCTTGACACAAGCCTCAGGGAAAATGAGAATCACCTTTGATGTTGAGCTCCCTGTAAAAGCTTATTTGTTTCAGTAGGCAAAGCTAGTCTATATGAAGGGTTTTAAGAAACCGTTACATCACATATCCGGAAACTAACCATAACCTGCTTGACATCCTTTGCTTTATATAGTATGATATTTGGGGGTAAATGTTTTTGTTGAAGCATTTAGGTACACCTAATAAAATAACGAAAGCTTTATGAAGTCTAACATATAGGCTAGACTACTTCATTTAAAGAAATGTCCTAGTTGCATAGAATCCCCATTGTGAAGAGGACGCCTATGCATAATTTCTGGGCCCTACCCTGTGCAATGTCAGATGAATGCCACGATAAGGCTGACAGCGCCCCAAATGATGGGCCCATGAAGCCATTATGATGGTAATGAGCCTCTACTCATGTAGAAAAATGTATTGCATTAGAGAAAAATGCACTGCTGGGAAAGTATAACAACACCCCTAACCAGACCTTTAAACATTACCCTCCCTGTCCCAGGGCTTTAATACAGCATAAAGACTTGTGCCTGCCTGTGTAAACGAAGCACTTCATTATTGCAGGGGTTTATCAGTAACCAGTGGAGCGGAATGTCATTGCCCTAACCATGGCTCCATCCGCAGTGGCAGCTCCCCTTTAAAAGCTCAGGGAACCTTTGAGCTACAGAACACAGGCTGATACTAACAGCAACACAATCTATCTACAGTACCATAGTTTCACTTCTGTGGTGAGAGAGGGAGGGGTGAGCTGGTTTCAGTGGAAATTCCAGGACAGTGACAAGTGTGCAAGTGACACACAAATAATAATAGGAGTGCTAAATTCCCCTCCAGCAGTGAGCTCCCATCTAGCAATAATACAAACTGTCTAAAGGGCATCCCAGATGACAAACGTTTTAGCTGTATTGTTTAGTTTTATTTTATAGGTAATCAATGTTAACAACCCATCAGCCAGACCTGCTGATAATAAGAGGGCGATGTCCATCCCAACTAGATGTCATGAGAGTCAAAACGCATTTCAACAGTTCCCAGACAGTTCAAGCAGCGTTTCTACATGCATCTCTGGCCTCAATATCTTTTCATCACTGATTCATAAGAGCAGGACAGTGTGTGTTGTAGTGGCAGATTACTTTGGGGAGGAATAGTGACAGAAGTGTGGGATATTATTAGCAGGCAGGCAGGAGAAAATGGACCTCAACAAATCAATCCTCATATCTTAACTGGTGAAGGATTGTGAATTAAAACGAATTAAGCCCTCTCTGTTCTCCATCCATGCGACTAAAGGAAACATTAATACCAAAATGGGTTACACTTACTGTTGGCCTAATAGTATAAAGTTCCCACTCACATACAGTAACAACATATTTCAGGGACATAAATGTGGGACGATACTCATCAAACAACACGTGATTAAGATTAATTTCTGTCTGGGCTTAGAAAGCACCTACATGGCATTTAAGACCTTCGGACCCCTGCCTAGCGCGGGAGGGGGGATACAGTTTAAATTGTCTTGGCAGATGGCAGACAGAAAACGCAGCACTTTGAAGCCCTTTACAGGTTTTAAGGCGGATCAGGCTATTGTGTGAGTGTTAACTACCAGTTGCTAAACAAAAACAGCTAACGTTAGGTAGCGTTCAAAAATGCTTTGCAACGTGATGTAGGAAAACAAATATCCCACGATGTAATGTTAACCTCTATCAATTTAGCAACTATGTTAACAGTAAAAAAAAAAACGACTTCTAATTTAGCACATTAACCATAATAAGTAAGTTAATTCAATAAACCATGTGTTGAAACATAACGTTACCTAGTTACATGTTATTCAATTCAAAAGCATTTCCAGTAATTTGAATAATAAATAGCTAGGTTACTTTATGCACAATGCGCCTACATTTGGGATTCCAGAATTAAAGCATGGAATTTTTGGGGAATCACACATTTTCACCAGTGTTATTTTGTTAGCTAACGTTAGCTTGCTACAATTTTGAATTCCTTAGTTAACAATACTATGCTAAACTAGTTAGCCATTTTGAATATAAGTAAAAACAGGCGTAAACAAATTAGTATAATCTAAAGTACAGTTATTTTTAAACGTTATTCAATAGAGCAGCCAACCAGTTCGTTATTTTATTCACAAACATCTAGCTAACTTTTTTGCATGTTGCTCGTCGCCAGCACTCTATTTTCGCTCGCGTTTATGAAAATGGAGGATTAAAAAAAAAGTAGCCTGTGGACGCCAAACTTACCTGCGATAAGACTAATCAATACACAGCAGAGGTGGGGTATCGTGAAATACATTCCTTTCTGTCTATTCCAATACTTTTCCTTCAAGACACGGGTGAAAAATAAACTTATGCGGTGCCTCTGACTGCCAGACAAACCACTCTCCCGAAACATCAAAACTCTCCGATCCCTCTACGCCTCAGCAGGTGTATTATAGGAGAGCTGGAGTCTGGACACGTGATTTCCGGAGGGTACCAAAGTCGTGTTTTCCAAGACACTTTCACGCCCCCTGCCGTATTACATGCGTTTACGTTTTACGTTAGTCATTTAGCAGTTACAGTTGGTGCATATTTTTTTTCTTTTCTTTCATACTGGTCCCCCGTGGGAAACGAACCCACAACCCTGGCGTGGCAAACACCATGCTCTACCAACTGAGCTACACGGGACTACAACACTGAATGGACACAGCTTTCTAATCAATGGTTATAGAAATTATAGTAATTTTACTGTTAAACTTTGAAACACTGAACAAGACAAGCTAAAGCTATAAAATAGTTATGAAAAGCTTTAATTGTAAGCCTGACAGTGCACACTTGTTTTTTTATCAGAAAGTCTAAATTCAACAGGTGCAATACAAATATGTACATGCTTCTTTTGACCGTCTGCCATTGACAATATTGTATATGCATATAATATGGTTTACTGTAAGCCTATGGGTCTTTAAAATATAAAGGTGTTAAATATTTACCAGACATGGTCTAATGGTGTGAAGGCAATAAGCATTCAAATTACACAGCAGTAAAATGTATCAAAACAGCAACCGAGAATGATTAGAAAATGTGTTTAATGTCTCATAATTTAAGTGGTTGGCACAATTCATAATATGAGTACACTGTGAATAAATAAAACAAATTCTCATTGGAACAATTGATGGACAGTACAGTAGGTAACATACAATTTTCCCATCAAATATAAATACAGTACATATATCTTCATAGCTATAAAATACATCAAATTCCAATATTCCTTCTCCATTACAACTGTAGATTCCTTTACTCACACGATTACAAATTATCTAAAGTGCAAAGAGTTAATGTTCTTATCACAAAAAAATAAAACAAATTCAAGAGTTTCCAGAGTGACTATTAAACTACTAAAATAGTTTTTAAAAATATGGTCAGTCATGTTAGTGAATTTAGTTTGCTCCCTCATTCCCCTCCAACAAGAACTATATTGCTTGCTCTAGTGGTCACCCTTTCACAGCTCAGGGAACCTGGAACAGGCTAATCCTAACATTAACACTTTCTACAGTGGTCCCTAACAGTGAGCCAGGCCTGGAGTGCCACCCCAGTATCCGTATCCATGCCCCCTTCTGTGGCCAGACGGGGCCCAGTCGTTGTGTCTGAAGGGCTGGGTGGGTCTACCTTGGGTTCTGAAGTCATAGTGAGGAGGACGTGGAGGTCCATTATATCCTTTACCTGGCCACATCTTCTTCTGCTTGGGCACTGGAGGACGCCACAAAGGAGCAGCTGGGTAGATCATCTTTGAACAATAAAACATGGGTCAATTTCAATTATATTTCCCCCATTGTCAGAGCTGACCAAGGAGGTATTCAGACAAGACTGTATGTAACACTAAATTGTTGCAACACAACCTCTATGTTCATTACTTGTTGTACCTGGTATTTGTGGCGATTTTGAGGGAAGGTAAGGGGAGGACGGGTTTCCCTGAGGCCACTATCCTCATCTGAGGAGGAACAAGAGTGGTAGTCAGACGTCACCCTCTCGACAGCGCTGGTCACCTTCTTAGTCACATCCTCTTTGTCATCCTCATCATCACCAGAGAAACTGGCAACAGTGAAAGCAATGTTTTTCTCTCCATACCTGCGCGAGAGGAAAAGAAGCCAACAAGACAATGCTTTGTCACTGAATGTATATCAACAATTTAGTGACTCGACTGGTGACCCAGAGAGGGATTTAACATGAATGGTGTAGCTACAGAGGTAAACATTGGAACCACCAAGGCTGCAAAATGACTCAGGTTTTGTATAGACAGTGGCAAGTCAAATTCAAGGACTTAAGTACTTTTTCAAGCACTAATATTTATTTTTCAAGGACCATCAAATTTGTAACAGTTCCTATTATGAAATTGTTTCTAGTCGCCACCAGACGGCTGTATATAGCCACAAGCTCATAAAAAATATTTATCACCAGTTGTGTTTCACTACATGAGTGGTAAGTCAGTAGTGATGTTGTAATTTGAGTAGAGATGAGCAGTTTTGGGACACGTACTGGTTAACAAACATTTCCTATTCGCATTACTACATAATTCCAGCTTAATGACTATTGCATTACTATTGGGCATTTGGGAATCTACTATTTAATAGCTACTAAGTAGTGTGGTGACTATGCAATTGTGTTCATGCTATGTAACATTGTCTAATTGATATGTGACAAATTTTATTGTCAAACCATAGCAGCAATAATTTTTGAAGCCACAACAACCTGTTGCTGGAGAAATCAAATTCATAAAATGTAGCTATGGATTAAAGATCAGGACAGTCAATGCAATGAGATCAACATGATCGTTTAAAACGTACTCAATGACAACAATAAAACTGAGTGGGAAATACTTTTAATTTTAGGTTACAGACCAAAATGTACTCATTGAGTGAGTGAGTGTTCACAACGGTCCAGTAAGCTCATCCTTTTTATCTTTGGAAACTGTTGAACTTGATTATGCATTCTCTGGACTTTGGGGTGGTCTCTGCCTACCCTTTCCATTTATTTTAGCAAGTTTCATGTCCTTTTCGAGGCGTCTCTTCTCTTTCAGGTCTTTGTTGTCTCGCTTTTCTTTTCTCTGCCCTCCTGTGGTCCTACATCTAGGTAGTCTTGATATTTCTGGCTGATTTGCAGGAAGATATCATTGGTGGCGTTATGTTGACTTTCTTTAGTCTCTGTGCTGTGTAGGACTGCTCCTTTTTGTTGACAACAGTGAGAGCGGAGCTGACTGCCGAGGCCTATCCGTAGGAAAGCACAAGGACAATTTGAGTTACTGGCCACAGGTCTCGGTTGTTCTCCTTACCCTTCAGACGCTCTAAAAAGAAAGATGTCCAGATTAGTTCTCTGCGGATCATACTCGCTGAACAGACAGTGATGTCAACACCACCTGTTGTATGAAGCACTTCAACTGCCTCTGGGCATCGTCACATCATGCCTCAGGAAAACGCTTCAGGTCAACTAAGTTTGTGAGAAGACGTTTGAATTTGCGCTCACAAATTTGCTTCAGGATTCCTTGTCATCCGTTGTGGGATGAGACAAGCAGCATTGTCACAAAACTGGACATGATTGGGGTTTTAAGCATCAACCTCAACAACTGGAGGCACTTCTTTATGTCACTCTGAAACTCAAAAATCCTCCTCACACTCACTTTGCTAGCCGCTTGTTTAAGCATCTTACATGTTGAAAACTCAGAGTCAACTTTGGAGGGGCCCCATGGCCTAATCCTCAGTCACAGTGTATTTCAGGGAGTCTAATGTGTGTCACCTCTTCTTCAGGACTCTGCTCATGACATTAGTCAATAGGTCTGCCCAGTCTGCTGTCAGGAATGGGACTGTCTGTTTGGTAGCTTTGAAGGTACCCTTGAATGTGTTGCTACAGCCAGTGTCAAGTCAAATTCAAGGACTTAAGCACTTTTTCAAGCTCTAATATTTATTTTCAAGGACCATCAATTTGTAATAGTTCACTTATGCAATTGTTTCTAGGTCGCCACCAGATGGCAGTAGCCTCATGGGGGAAAAAATAACTTAGTATTCATCCCTACCGTACAAGTTCTACTCAATAATATGTTGTTTCACTACATACCTCTCATGTAAGTCAGTACCGATGATTTTGTAATTTGAGTAGTGATGAACAGAGTTTTGGGACATGCCTACTGGTGAACACACATTTCCTATTCGCATTACTACACAATTCCAGCTTATAAATGACTGTTTTTATTGGGCATTTGGGAATCTACTACTTAATAGCTACGAAAAAGCATCCTGCTTCCGACTGGCAGCTTTAGTGTCAACGGTCGGAAGGGCTGTGTTAGGAAAACAGAACGTGAACAACAGGAGCATGGCTGCCACTTGATAAAACGGAATATCGCAGGTGCCCCATGAATGAGGCGATTGGGGAAAAAAGCTCTAGATGTTGTTGCAGAGAAAAAAGGTCACATGTAGAACTGGCGCCAGCGCAGGATGCAGCGTTGTGTCTTTCCCCCTTCATGTGGCTCTTCAGGGCCGATTCACCAATGCTTGCAATGCCAAATTCTGACTCATTTTTTGCACCTTACACGGTACGGTGTGGGTTGGTTGGGTGCAGTGATGTAGTAGTAAAAAAAAGGTGGATAAACTATACTGAAACAAAATATAAAAAACGCAACATGTAAAGTGTTGGTCCCATGTTTCATGAGCTGAAATAAAATAACCCAGATATTTTCCATATGCACAAAAGACAGGATTGAAACAACATTTGCCAGGCATTTTAGCTATCGATGTGATGTTGTGGTCCTCTGTAGCTCAGCTGGTAGAGCACGGCGCTTGTAACTCCAAGGTAGTGGGTTCGATCCCCGGGACCATCCCACACACAAAAATGTATGCACGCATGACTGTAAGTCGCTTTGGATAAAAGCGTCTGCTAAATGGCATATTATTATTATTATTATTATTATGTTTGGCGGTGCCTAAACAGTCAGTTCTGTACCTGCCTGGCTGAGTGGCAGTGTGGGTGGAATTAGCGAGCTCGCCTAGCAACCGCAGCGCAAAACAGGTGAGGAAATAAAACTCTGTAGTCTGCCCGGAAATTAATTCACAAGACCAATACATTTATTCTAATATTTTTCATAAACATTTGATCATTATCTGTTCTCCTCTCATTTTAATTCAAGTACCAACTTGAGAAAATGCCTGATTGTCAATGTATTCCAGTACTTGAATTTCAGAGTGCCAAATGAAAGTACTTTAAGCACCTTGTGCGAACCCAGTGGGAGAAGTTTGTCTGCCATCGCTTCCTTTACAGTTGTGAATGTAATGCATGTCGGTGTTCTGTAGGATTTGTCGCTTTCGACTGCTTGTACAAATGTTATTAGGTTTGGCAAAACCTCTAAGGCTCTAGTTGCAACCGCTATGTTTTCTACCCAGTGATGTCCACAAAACTGTAGGGAAAACTGAGGAGCCTGTGATTGTCACAAAATCATCCCGTCTTGCAGGGACGTCATTCATCAGTCTATAGAAAGCATTTAATGTGCCCTCTATGTCCCAGTCTATGAAGTCAAATGCATTTCGAAATGCATTGTGGACACTGTGCAAGGAACATGTTCCAATGTCAATTAGCTCTGTCTGTGGCTTCTGCAAAGACATTAGATATGAATTCTGTAAAACTTGTGGTTAACATTTGGTCCATCCATTTAAATTTGTAGGAGGTGAGACATGTTAAGTTGATCTGTCAACTCTGAAGTGAGAAAGACAGTCCTTAGCTGTGCCATGTCCCATAAAGGATGAGTCCAGGTAGTGAGAGTGGTAACCTTGTTGGTTGTGGGGTCTACAAACCTTAAGTGGACATCCATTTGCTTGAGCTGAAGTGGTTTTTTTCAGCAATTTGTCAAAAAGCAGCACATAACCGTCGTTGTTCTGTAACTTGTCCAGGAGGTGGTGCCGAAAGTAAGGTGCAAGACCATGATTGATCACGTAGGCAGTCTTCTTTTCCCCACGGGCATATGACTTGGCATTAGCACTGTCAGGAAACATCCAGGGGGAAATTGTGGCATTGTCCTCATGCACTTTTGTAGTGGGAGACGCGTCATTGTCCATAGGATCTCTGCGCGCCATGAATCATTGTTTCGGACCCATGAAGAGAGGTTAGAAAATAACTTGGGTAGAGGAACCTGAAAGCAATACAATTCTGCTCATGTTAGGTTGTATTTGTAATGTACTATCCCTTCGACATTTACACTGAGTGCACAAAACATTAAGGACACCTCTTTCTATGACAGACTGACCAGGTGAATCCAAGTGAAAGCTATGATCCCTTATTGATGTCACTTGTCAAATCCACTTCAAATATGTGTAGATGAAGGGGAGGAGACAAAGGATTTTTAAGCCTTGAAACAATTGAGACAGAGTTCTGTGTGTGCCATTCAGAGGGTGAATGGGCAAGAAATTATGCAAGTGCCTTTGAACGGGCTATGGTAGTACAACTCAATATTAGGAAGGTGTCCTTAAAATGTTCTGTACACTCAGTGTATATGCAACTACCTCTTACATTTAATTTTCAACCCTTAAACCCATAGCATATGCTACATACTGCATGTATTTTTATTTCCCCTTCAAACCAATGCCTTTGGCTATATTACCATTGAACAGACAAACCAAACATAAACAAACAAATAGAACAATGACGGTAATTAAAACCATGGTTTAAAGAGAAATGTATTACATGTGTAACGTTATAGCTTGCCATTAGGTGCAGCTGTAGAAACTACTTTCAACAACGGTGCTGAAAAATGATGCCAAGTTCATAACTCAGCAGATCTTGACTGGCTTTGATGGAAAAATTTACTCTTCTGTATCCAGACATGTACAGAGTTCGAGTTTGCAAGCTAACTAGCTAGCCAAATGTTAGCAAGCTGACTACTCAATGTTAGTTAGCTCGCTATTTTAGCCAAGTTGGCTAACGTTTGCTGGCTAGCATAATTTCGCCCAAATCATTCAACACACTCACTAACCCAGATCAACTGCCTTGAAGGAGGCATAGATAAAGTGCTATAGCTATCTAGAAATCATTTAATACTCCAGCTTCAGTTCCCTTAGCTAAGAGTTCTAACTATCTATCTAGCTTAAGCTAGCTGGTAAACTCTAGCTTGCTAACATTAGCTAGTAGGCTAGCTAGCCCTTTTCATCACTCAAATGTGGCTATACAGAGAACTACTTAATGTTTGAAACGTTTCTTTACCTGTTGGTCTGGTTGAGCTGTTGCTGCTGAAGCTCTGGAGGTTGTTGCAGAGAAAAAGTCACAAAGTAGAACTGGTGCCATCCCAGGGTGCAGCTTTGTGTCTTCCCCCTTCATGTGGCTCTTCAGGGCAGATTCACCCATGCTCGCAATGTCAAGTCTTTGACACATTTTGTACACCTTGCATGATGTGGGTTGGTTGGGTCTGGCAACACTCATTCATAAACATCAATATCCTGCCAGGCAGGATTTAACCTACATTTGCCCGGCATTTTAGTGTCATTGTGACGTTTGCCGGCGCCTCATCAGTCAGTTCTGTACCTGCCTGGCTGAAAGGCAGTGTAAGTGGAATGAGCGAGCTCGCCTGGCAACCTGAGTGCGCAACACGAGGGGAAAAAAAAAACTGCCTGGAAATGTATTCTTAAGACCAATACATTAAACAAATATTTTTCATATTAACATATTTTATAATTTTCTGTTCTCCTCTCATTTTAATTCAAGTACTTTTTAAGTATCAACTTGAGAAAATGTCAGATTTAAGGTATTCCAGTACTTGAATTTCAGAGTGTGAACCCTGTGACTGCCCATCTCCCAAAGTGAGCACTTGCACACTCCTCGTCATGGATTCAACTCCCTCCAGCCAATGCATACACCAATCCAATGCTTTTAAATAAGACTGACCTGCAACACACCTCCCCTGGATCCACCCACAGGGTGAGTTCTCGGGGCAGGCCAAGGTCCTTGTACTGAACCCCACTCTCCTGGCAGGCCCGCAACAGCTCTGGATCCTCCCTCTGCAACCTGTTCACCCGAATACACCTGCAAAGTAATAGAGTATGCAACACAGACCTTCGATAACTCCAATCATACAAATCACTGCATATCCAAAATACACCCTATTCTTCATAGGGCATGATGCCCAAGACTAGAGGTTGATAAAACTACTGATATGGTCGTCAAGATAGGGGGAGTGAGAGCAAGGCCACAGACAGGCATCTGATCCATAGCTAATTACCTGAAGGCCTGTCCTTTGCTGGGGTTGTCAGGATACCAATGCCCTCTGAACTTCTCCTGCAGTGCAACAGTCAACCGCTCCACAAACAAGTCCACTTTCTGGGTATCCAACTTTTCCACCTTCTTGAACAGCTTTTTCAGGAAAAACACCACTGCTGCAATCTCCTTCATCATCATGTTTCACAGATGTGTTGTAACGATGGTCCAACTTCTGGAAATATGAGGATTAGTAGCTACCACAAATTTTGACCAGAAACAGTAAACTCACAAACAAGTTAATAGCCTAGAAACAGTGGTTTTATCCATCACTTCACCACCATGTCCTTCATATTATGCAAAGTATATTAACTATGTAGCAAGCAAAGCCTACCTAACAACACAAAACAAACTTACAAGAATTCGTTGAATGTAAATATTCAGTTAATTTAATGGGTTAACCATTGTTAAATCCAAACGACATTCCAGTTTGGCGGGACATCTTCCAGAAATGCGCGCTGTGACCAGTGGCTGTGATGCATTATTTCCGTTTAGCCATGTGACCGCCAATCATTCATAGCTGGCTAGCTAACAGTGCTAGCTAGCTAACAACAAAACCCACACAAAAGCTTAAAAACGATATAGATACATACATTATGTACATATTAATTGCAGACGTTTTGGTGACAAAACTTTTCAAGTGAAGTAACGTTAACGTCATCCTAGCTAGCTACTGTAACGTTAGCTAACGAGAAAATGTTCAAACAGCTTGCTAGAAATAATGATGAATACATTCGTCGGGAAACTAGCTAAGTAAACGTTGTAAAATACACATCAAAATTTGTTATTTGATTATCCACAATAACAATTAAAAGGCCATCATATTACCGTAATTGCTGTTCATCACCATGTGGAAAACTGTTGCCAGCTCAGCTCATGAATGTCTGAACCTCCGTATGAGATCACAACTTGCCCGGGAGGCGGTGCGCGCGATTCCTGGACTAGCCCTACGTCACGGTCGTCACTAGTTATCACAACCACAGAGTCATAATTATGGCTAAACCCCGCCTATTTCTACAATGTATATTTTTTATAATCTGATTTTAAACCTAACCGTAACCAAACTGCTAACCATATGCCTAACCCTAACCTTAAATTAAGACCAAAAAGCAAATTTTTGTTTTAATTAATTTTTACAATATAGCCATACTTTGTGGCTGTGGTAACTAGTGACAATCTGACGTCATCCGCAATGAGCAACGCGACCAAAATGGCTGACTTGAAATCATCCTTCAGCTACAAAATAAAGTTAAACAATGTGGGGACGTAATAATGTTGTTTGAAACTATGAAAGTGCGTACTATATTTTAACTGCTCCAAAATTACATTGCGCTGCTTATTAGTACACGTCCTGTGTGAACCAAAATACAGCTGCAATCTTTTTCCACAGGGGGGTGGTCAACCTCCATCTAAATCACTGGCCTGTATGTATCAAATCAGAGTGGGTAGAAACCTTGTAGAAGACTGTACGTAGTTTGGATTATTAATTATCAAAAGGTTTAGAGGGCTCCAGGGTCTCGAGACCACATATTGAGTGTCGGATACATTAGTCTCGGTCTCGGACAGTGAGGACTCGTGTAATTTCTTCCCGAGACCAGCCGAGTAAAAAACTCATAATTTTCAGCTTCCATTCCGTTAGCGCATAAAACCTCTTCGCCAGGCCAAATATATACACTCCTTTCTTAAAACATTATCTTAACAGTCTTTATATCTATTATAGACATGTTTGGGCAGTGGCGAACCTATAGGCCTTCAGTGTGTGCCAGATTCGTGATTCTGAAAGGACAGCAATCGCAATACCAGCACACTAATGTAGGAGAGTGCACTGGGCCAGTGACGTAGTGGAGGGTATATGCAGGTTTAACCATATACCCACACCCGTCGCTATGGGCGGGCCATAGTAAATGCTAACTAAGGCAACAATGGGTATGCAACCAGGTATTGAAAAAGTTTAGTGTTTGTTAGTAGGCTATTTGTGATGCCCAATTGTCGTCATGCGCTTTTTGCATCAGAGGCGTAGACATGGGTGGACAGAGGCGCACCCACTGGGGAGCCAGGCCCTCACAGGCCCACCCAATCAGATTGATGTGGTTTAAGCATGGTCGTGGACTTAAACCATACATTTTTTGTATTTAAAAAAAAAAGTATGATTTTGAGAGTGAAAATCTGTCTATAGGAAAACTCATATACAACCATAGGAAAATATAGGATTTGAGAACTTTTGGCCCAAATTAGAGTATACCCACTTCTCCAGGCACCACTACACCACTGCATGGGGCCAATGGAAAGACAGCAGTCACACACAGCATAATGTTAAAGGATAAGCAGTCCATAAACTGGGACATAATAAGCCAGTAGGTCCCAATCATAAGAATACAAAAATACAACCACTAAGCATTTCCCAATCAAAATGTACAACTATTACTTCCCGTTGCAAAAAACATTTCACGTTCAGCACACAAAGTAACCGGTGACCTAAAGTTTAAAGTGGAACTGACAGCGTTTTAACTACTTTGCAGATATGAAACAAACAGACTATCATAATATCAGTCAAAAATATCAAATTCCCAGTTTATGCTACAAAACCAACTTTCAGTCATAACGTGGCTGATAGGCTAGCGTATCTATTTATGTAGCAAGCTAAAAACATGGAGCCTAACGTTAGCTAGATAGCTAGCTAGCTACACTACATGGCCAAAGGTATGGCCTCCTGAGTGGCGCAGTGGTCTAAGGCTGTGCCACTAGAGATCCTGGTTCGAATCCAGGCTCTGTCGTAGCCGGCCGCGACCGGGAGACCCATGGGGAGGCGCACAATTGGCCCAGCGTCTTCCAGGGTAGGGGAGGGAATGGCTGGCAGGGATGTAGCTCAGTTGGTAGAGCATGGCATTTGCAACGCCAGGGTTGTGGGTTCGATTCCCACGGGGGGGGGGGGGGGAAATAATGTATGCACTCACTAACTAGATAGCTAGCTAGCTACACTACATACAAGTCGCTCTGGATAAGAGCGTCTGCTAAATGACTAAAATGTAAATGTATGTGGCTCCTCAAACATCTCATTACAAAATTATGTGCATTAATATGGAGTTGGTCCCCCCTTTGCTCCACTCTTCTGGGAAGGCTTTCCACTAAATGTTGGAACATTGCTGCGGGTACTTGATTCCATTCAGCCACAAGAGCATTAGTGAGGTCGGGAACTGATGTTGGGCGATTAGGCCTGGCTCGCAGTCGGCATTCCAATTCATCCCAAAGGTGTTCGGTGCGGTTGAGGTCAGGGCTCTGTGCAGGCCAGTCAAGTTCTTCCACACCGATCTCGACAAACCATTTCTGTATGGACCTCGCTTTGTGCACGGGGGCATTGTCATGCTGAAATAGGAAAGGGCCTTCCTCAAACTGTTGCCACAAAGTTGGAAGCACAGAATGTCATTGTATGCTGTAGTATTAAGATTTCCCTTCACTGGAACTAAGGGACCTAGCCCGAACCATTAAAAACAGCCCCAGACCATTATTCTTCCTCCACCAAACTTTACAGTTAGCACTATGCATTCAGGCAGGTAGCGGTCTCCTGGCATCCGCCAAACCCAGATTTGTTCGTCGCACTGCCAGATGGTGAAGCGTGATTCATCACTCCAGAGAACGCATTTCCACTGCTCCAGAGTCCAATGGCGGCGAGCTTTACCCCACTCCAGCAGACGCTTGGCATCTATGGCCATTGTTGTTCCTAGACATTTCCACTTCACAATAACAGCACTTACAGTTGACCGGGGCAGCTTTAGCAGGGCAGAAATCTGACGAACTGACTTGTTGGAAAGGTGGAATCCTATGACGGTGCCACATTGAAAGTCAGTGAGCTCTTCTGTATGGGTCGTTCTAATGCCAATGTTTGTCTATGGAGATTGCATGGCAGTGTGCTCGATTTTGGTTGGGACAAGTATGCATTTCCAGGCAAGCAGCTGAAGGACGAGGAGGCTACAATTCCCCATCGTTTATCAGTGCAATTTTGACGGCCAACTAGCTGAAAAAGTTTGAGAGGGTTTATCAAATGTTCCTTCGTTAGATTTTAGCTCATCTTGCTCTGGCTAGCATTAGTTGTTGATGTTGTTGTTGTTGATGTGCATAACTGAGGGAGAGAGAGCCTACCTTTTCATGGTTGTTTGATCAATAGGACTGTAAAGTTCCCAAATGTAAGTGAACTACCGTGGTGTTTACATATTTGCAGAAATCCATTCAGGTGTATTTTGTTGCTTTTGGCAAATGCGTTCCAATGATCTAAAGTCGTGCTATTGCAACTGCCTGTAAACACACAGTAAGGTTCAAGGTGAATGATGGCAGGCCCGTGTGGAAAATTACTTGTTTGTATAAAGGCCTACTATAGCTCCGATTGGCTATAGCGCACCGATCTGTGTAGACTCCGGTCCTGACAAGACAGATGTTTTTGTTCGGTTTTATTTACTGCAGTGTCTATTAATTGTCCAAACGCATGACCGCTTTCCCACTCTATATTGCTATAGAATATTCACAAATGCCTTAGTATACGTAATTCCCAAACGTTCTAAGAATTTATGAAAACGTGAAGTGTCATTCTTCCTGGGGGTGTATATGAACAGATTTTAATAAGAATTAATGTTGCTAAAATGGTGTCAGTTCCACTTTAAATGCAACAATGTTTCACACACATAAGTTATTTTCAAAGAGATGCCTAACAACAGCAAGCGCGCTGCAATAAAAAACAGTTCCACTGACCAGATGATGATCATTTGAAAGTTAACTTCTTGTTGAAAGTTATTCTTGAAAAGGGAGAAACTAACAAACTACAACAACATCCTCTTTGATAACACCTGCTGCAGCCGCTGCAAACTAGCCGACAACAAAAGCTAACTAGCTAGACTGTGGGAAAACTACTGCTCGCTATTGCACAGTGACCTGTTGACCTTCAAAAAGGCAGCAGTTTCCATACGTTTTTGTAAAAACAGTCGCATCCATTAAGTCAAAATGTGATTGGTTGATTCCACTGTCACTCCAAAATGTTGCCCTAATACATTTGAATGGCAAATGCCTTTATCTAGCTTCTGATGGCCTAGCCAATGGCTGATTGGATCTTTTTTCTCTTCAACCCTTTCCTTTACAGAAAAAACTTAAGAGATTAAATCAGAACATCATTGAAAATATAATTATCATTATAATAATTATTTTATAAATTCTTAGCCCTTCTCTGAAGGCGTAGAAGGCCCATTGTTCACCACGGTGTTTGGGTTAGTAATCATTTGTGGAGTGGCTCTATTTTCCCTCAGCATGCATTCTTTCACTATTCTGAATGTCTAAAGAATCCATATGTTGTTCTGAAATATGAACACAGAAATACTGGACATTTTGAACTCTATTATGGTGGTGATAGACTCCCGAGTGGCGCAGTGGTCTAAGGCTGGTTCGAATCCAGGCTCTGTCGTAGCCGGCTGCGACCGGGAGACCCATGGGGCGGCGCACAATTGGTCCAGGGTAGGGGAGGGAATGGCCGGCAGGGATGTAGCTCAGTTGGTAGAGCATGGTGTTTGCAACGCCAGGGTTGTGGGTTCGATTCCCACGGGGGGCCAGTATGAAAAAATTATGTATGCACTCACTAACTGTAAGTCGCTCTGGATAAGAGCGTCTGCTAAAATGTAAATGTAAAAATGTGATTTGACAAAATTACAATAATAGTCTTGAATTGGACTCGCATTTTTCTGGTCTCGGTCTTGACTGTCTTGGATCCCTTGTCCCCCTCCCGGTCTCAGTCTTGCCCCCACTCTGGTCTTAGTCTTGACACAGACTCGATTTGCTCTGGTCTTGGTCTTGAATCAGTCTCGCTTTAGGTGGTCTCGAACACAACACCGGAGGGCTCTGATTAGAGACAATTGGTAATTGACAAGATATCATAGCATGGTCTCATAAGTTGTTCTGTAGCCAACTCGATTGGTTGTCATACCATGCCTACATCTACTCAGCCAATATGACACCAAAGAAAATGTAAGAAAAATATGATAATTTTATTGAAATATTTTGGAAAAAATACAAAACAATTAGACACATTTCACATAGGCAGTCAGCTCCACAAATAAACATTTTCTACAAAGAAATCCACACAGCACAAGCACAGGCCACACAAATTACAAAATGTAGGATAGTTCGCCCAAATTATAAAAATGTAGGATAGTTCACCCAAATTACATATTGGACAATGATGACAGCAATCCATGCTTTGGTTTAGTTTCCCTGGCACTGTTTCCGAATGCTAACGTTGGAGCGTTTGTGGCACAAATCCCATTCAAGTCCTGATACCGATATTAGCATTTTTTGCACATCATGTTCAAAACATCTAAGTGACTGAGTTTCACAATACATTTGAGATACTTTCGAATGAGTTGGACATAATGCGTGAAAAAGCTTATGTGCCAAATGCTGGAAACAGTGCCAAGGAAATAAAAACAAAACATGGATTGCTGTCATACCTTGTCCATAGACTGCTTACAGGGTAAAGAAAGCAATGTCATTTTGTAACTTGGTTCAACTATCCCTTTAATGTATCAGACCACCAAGAAAATCATGAGTCAAGTCAAATTTAGCAGAAAGGGGAAAGCAATGCAACAGGTATGTACACATATCCAGATACACACACACAGCTAATGACATTCACCCCAGACAGACACAGATGGCTCACGAGTCTTTCCAACCAGGGAAGCAACCGTTCAGACATATATAAAACTTTACCAAACCTATAAACCACTCAGTGGGCAAATCTGAAATGGCACCCCATCCCCTAGTATAAGTGCACTACAGAGTACCACAATATGAGTCACAATAACCATAAAACCAAGCGGTAAAACAGGGAAATGGTTCAAATCGTTCTTCCACCATTCATTTTTCCCCTTAGGGGATTTTTACAAAACCTTATAATAAGGGCTGTGTTTCATGTAGGCTTACCCTGGCGTGATGTTTTGATAACCATGTAAATCTGTATTTACCCTCAAACTACAAATGCCATGATGATCTGGGCGAGACTGCCGAATCGAAGCAAAGGCAACAATCTCTGGATTAACTATCTAATGTTAGCTAAATGTAGTAATGAATAAATTGGATACATTTCTTTAAAAATAGACAATTCTGTGAACTGTCTTGATCAAGTTTTAAATTGACACAATACCTGTTAGCAAAGGTGTCAGCTAGGGATGACGTGCAGGAGCTTGTAGGGATTTGTAGTTTTGCATGATGTCTACTTTGATGCTAATTAGCATTTTTGAATCAGATAAAAGTCACCTTGTCCGAGAGAGATTTACATGGTTATCAAAACGTCACGCCAGGGTAAGCCTACACGAAACACAGCCCTTATTTTAAGTGTTTCTTAAATCCACGATGTGGAAAAATGATTGGAACCATTTCCCTGTTTGACCACTAGGTTTTATGGGTATTATGACAACTCCACTGTGGGGTTCTATAAAGGGAAAAAGGTACTTTTGCAAACACCCAGGAGTCAAATCTCAAACCCAGACTATAGGGAAAATGAGAATGCGCATAAAATGTGTACAACATACCAGACATTTGATGTACACTTACAGCAACTCATGCTCAGAAAAAAACACAGGATAAGAGTCAAAAGCAGAGCTAAAACCTTTCTTGTAAACCCCAAAGGGGTCAAATCTGATCTCTTATAAAGAGGGAGACTAACATTGGGAGATTCAAATACATCACAACCTGATTATAATTGTTTCTTTGTTCCCCAAAATATACAAATTTATTTTGGGCCCAATATATAACTTTCCCAAGAGGCTCCACCTAAGTGGTAAGAACCTCTGCAGTAATTTTAAACCACCACCAGAGGGTGCCTAAATTTCAAATGCACATCAATTATTGACCAGACATAAAATCCATGTTCTTACTACAGCTGTTTCCCAAATATTCATGAACAGTTCATTTGTTTGTCACATTTTTTTTCTTCCAAAATCACTGATCTGACCAGGCTGGATGGGTGAAACTAATCATTATTTGGGTTTTCTTTCCGCTATATTGGTTTCTTTTCTTTTCCGCTATATTGGTTCCTTCCGATCAGTGCCTTTAAAGCAGGAGGCAAGGGAAACTATTGGACACATCCTGTTAAGATAAAACATGATTCGGCAGTCTAGTTAGAGTTCACATATCCATAATTTGAACTCCACACAGCATAGGCCTACCCCCAGAAAATAATTTGTTAAAATAAAGAATAAAATAACATGTAAAAACCAAAGCACATTTGAAACACGCAACCACAAAAGAGTAAAACAATATTAAAATAATTGCCTACATAAATTCAGTCACACAACATAACATCAACTTGACGTCTGTCTGAAACCAGGGGAGAAGTGTTGAACGGTTCATAACATAGGACATTACAGCTAAACCTGTTATAGAAGTTTATAATTGAGCCACATTTCAAGTGAATTTGGTATCAGTGAATTCTATTGCATTTCACTATCAATTCTAGTTGGTCTAGTGTGGCCTATACTTGTAGGCCACAAGTAAAATAATAAATACTGACATTTACTGCCCTGAAGCAAATAAAATACTTTGGTTTGGTGATTGGACCATATTACGCTTACAGAGTTGAGCCTTCTCTGCTATCAGCATGCATTTCATGTCACTCCCTTGTTCAACTACAGGCATGACTTGTGCTCGACAGCCATAAAATACCTTACCAGTTGAAATCAAGAGAACTTAAGTTAAGACTATCAGAGAATAGCATTTGCAGCATGCCACTAACAAAACAAACATCAAAATTCAACCCCAATCCATAACTGGCTAAATAATAAAAGCAACAAACTGTAAACCGCTGGACTTAAAATCCCACCTCCACTTAGAACTAGATTGTGGGTGATGTAACATAATTTCTTCAAACCTCAAGAGTAGGTTTCACTGCACGGATTACAAAATAAAATCTCACTCCTCCTTTCGTAACAGTTACCAAAGCAACAACAGAATAAGTCAACCAAATATTTGCTGAAGAGGAGCGAGGAAATGGTGTGATTAAAATAACAAAAGAAAGCTAAAATGTAAAAGATATGAGGAAAACCAAAAAATTAAATGTTGGTGAAAAGAAAACAACTTTAGCTAGATATATGCAAACAAGATCTTTCTCATGTCACTGAATCAAATACATTTGAATAGACATTCTTTAAAAAATACTTTATATCTGCATAGGCAACAGGTCCACCAACAGCGAGGATCAACAACCCACAGTTCCCATTTGGAAGTTGATGGATCCCAAGGTCCTTCAATTTTATTGCCTTTCCTCAAGCCCCTTATTCAAGTACTGCAGTCAGAAAGCCTTAAGCATGATGAGAGGAGGCCATGTCCATTCCTCTGGGACAAACCACACCTCGCAGCAAGTCTTTCACAATACAAAGGGCACTGGCTACAGTGGCCAGCCTGTCTGTCTGTAGCCCTGGGAGTGAGACAGCCAGCCCCCTGAGAGAGAGACAACCAGCCCCCTGAGAGAGGCAGCCAAGCCAGGTAGGTACCCCCAGACTCCCCTCACTCCACGGGGGCATTGCTGCTGGCCTTGACCCCGGACCCGGCTCGGCTGATCTGCAGCCAGGGCAGCTTGGCACAGTTCTTGAAGAGCTGCTCGATGGCGATGTGACGAACGTGCAGCTCCGACGCCAGCGAGTCTTTCTCCTGTACAGCCCCCGTCAGCTCCTCAAACACCTCTGTAGGGAGGGGGAGGCAGAGATCAGTATACCACAGGGTTAACACACACACACACACCTCTGTGGATGGCATGACAGAGATCACAGAGCAAGGCAGTATATTGCAAGCCAGGGACCACACACAGAGACAACAATTAGTTAATAAAAAAAAAAGTCAATCAATTAAGCAGAGGGGGCAGACAGCAATGACAACACAGTACCGCCGAGACATAACAACAATACCACCTCACAAAGACACGTCACATCAAAGACACCAGCACAGAAGAGACGCAACAAAAAAAGAATGCAGCATATTCAGTTCCTTCCATTTATGGTCATTTACAATTAGATATTTCAAACCCATGCACTCCAAAATAGATGATATGTGCAAAGCAATAATTCAGATATCTGGTCACAGTTAACTTCAATTGATGGCTATTAAAGTGTATCTTACTTTGAATCTGTAGCAGGAGCTGGCTGTTCACCTGGTGGAGCTCATCCACACTCATTTTAATCACTGGAAGATAAAACAGATTGGGTCACAAAACAAGAGAAACATAGCATGTGTGATAAAGTAAAGCAAACTCGTTCTAAACCGTCCTCTAACTAACCAACTAACGCAACCTCAGGCACTTGATGCATAGCAACAACGAACTATGCAGAGAGAAGAGTTAAGGGTCATATAGCTACACTGTCGTCATTTACAAAGGAATGGAATTCTAAGAACGGCATGAAAGAACCACCATCCTTGGGAGATATCCCCCCTCTCTCCTCTCCCAGAGCGCGTGCAGCAGGCACAAACAACATTGGTGCTGTTACAGTGACAGGACATGGACACTGAGGTAGGAGAGAGAAAGGTTTTCTCTGGTGTGATGGTTTGGGGAAAGGAGGGAAAGTGGTGGTCGAGGAGGAATGTGTGAGGAGGATGCTCTAAAAACGGAGCCCTAGCCTGCATCACTACATTGTCGTGTGCCATTAATGAGTAGGGGAGATGGAAGAGATAGGAGTCCATATAACAGAGAACAGATCAGAGAGGGGAGAGAAATGGATGCGGCGCATCCCATCTGTCTCCCTCCCTCTTTTCCTCCCTCTTCAACACGCCTCCTCCCACTCAATGCCATTCATCACAGAGACACAGACACCTTCTGATCCAACCTTGAGATGCCTCTTTGATGAAGGGAATGTATGCAGGGAAGACCGATACCCTGAAGCATCTCCAGTGATGACTCTGGGCTAAATAACACTGGCTATAGTCTGACTTCTCTACCCTCCTAAAATGGTGCACTCGTTCCCAGAGGCTTCCTCTAGCCCCATGCTTAGACTACATCAATACAATGTTGTGTTTTTTTGTTTGAATGCAGAGAGCTCACATCTGAAGAACAGAGGGGTAGAAAATCTGACCACAGCCAGTGTGGTGTGTTGGGAATAGAGGTAGCCAGTTAGTGTTCATTACAGGTGGTATAAAGAACTCACACTCGTGTCTGCTGTGGCCATTGTTTGAGTGCAGCATCTGGTGGTCTCTTCCAGAACACCGGCTGTGGCAATGAAGGACCCTCCTCCCTGTGGCCCCCCACAGGCCCTGCCCGTCCTCCAGTAGTCCCAGCCCATCGGCCGAGTGGCACTCCAGCATGCTCGTGGCGTAGTCCGGCAGCCCTCCTGCCCCCGTCCCCTGGTTCCAGCATGGGGTGTAGCGAGGCACCTGCGCGTCTGACTGGGGAAGTGGTTTACGGTCTCCATTCTGGCTGTAGCAGAGGAGCTGGTGCTTGCTCCCCCGGCAGCCCGGACCTCCCTCTGAGCCGACAGAGTCTTTGTTCTGGGCGTACTGAACAATGCGGCTGATCTTCTGGCTCAGGGCCAGCTTCATTCCCTCGTAGGCACTACGGGAGACCTTGGAGCGGGACAGCTTCTGGTTGGCGATGAGGTGGTACTTCTCAAAACACTCCCGGTGGCCCCGTAGGGATTTGGAATGCAGGAGGGTGGCATGGGACACACCTGCAGCAAGCAGAGTGAGAGAGAGACACATAGCAATCAGTTAGAAAAGACAATTAGCTACATGTTCTGTTTAGCAATAAATGCTATACAGTGGGGAGAACAAGTATTTGATACACTGCCGATTTTGCAGGTTTTCCTACTTACAAAGCATGTAGAGGTCTGTAATTTTTATCATAGGTACACTTCAACTGTGAGAAAAATCCAGAAAATCACATTGTATGATTTTTAAGTAATTAATTTGCATTTTATTGCATGACATAAGTATTTGATACATCAGAAAAGCAGAACTTAATATTTGGTACAGAAACCTTTGTTTGCAATTACAGAGATCATACGTTTCCTGTAGGTCTTGACCAGGTTTGCACACACTGCAGCAGGGATTTTGGCCCACTCCTCCATACAGACCTTCTCCAGATCCTTCAGGTTTCGGGGCTGTCGCTGGGCAATACAGACTTTCAGCTCCCTCCAAAGATTTTCTATTGGGTTCAGGTCTGGAGACTGGCTAGGCCACTCCAGGACCTTGAGATGCTTCTTACGGAGCCACTCCTTAGTTGCCCTGGCTGTGTGTTTCGGGTCGTTGTCATGCTGGAAGACCCAGCCACGACCCATCTTCAATGCTCTTACTGAGGGAAGGAGGTTGTTGGCCAAGATCTCGCGACACATGGCCCCATCCATCCTCCCCTCAATAAGGTGCAGTCGTCCTGTCCCCTTTGCAGAAAAGCATCCCCAAAGAATGATGTTTCCACCTTCATGCTTCACGGTTGGGATGGTGTTCTTGGGTTTGTACTCATCCTTCTTCTTCCTCCAAACACGGCGAGTGGAGTTTAGACCAAAAAGCTATATTTTTGTCTCATCAGACCACATGACCTTCTCCCATTCCTCCTCTGGATCATCCAGATGGTCATTTGCAAACTTCAGACGGGTCTGGACATGCGCTGGCTTGAGCAGGGGGACCTTGCGTGCGCTGCAGGATTTTAATCCATGACGGCGTAGTGTGTTACTAATGGTTTTCTTTGAGACTGTGGTCCCAGCTTTCTTCAGGTCATTGGCCAGGTCCTGCCGTGTAGTTCTGGGCTGATCCCTCACCTTCCTCATGATTATTGATGCCCCACGAGGTGAGATCTTGCATGGAGCCCCAGACCGAGGGTGATTGACCATCATCTTGAACTTCTTCAATTTTCTAATAATTGCGCCAACAGTTGTTGCCTTCTCACCAAGCTGCTTGCCTATTGTCCTCTAGCCCATCCCAGCCCTGTGCAGGTCTACAATTTTATCCCTGATGTCCTTACACAGCTCTCTGGTCTTGGCCATTGTGGAGAGGTTGGAGTCTGTTTGATTGAGTGTGTGGACAGGTGTCTTTTATAATGGTAATGAGTTCAAACAGGTGCAGTTAATACAGGTAATGAGTGGAGAACAGGAGGGCTTCTTAAAGAAAAACTAACAAGTCTGTGAGAGCCGGAATTCTTACTGGTTGGTAGGTGATCAAATACTTATGTCATGCAATAAAATGTAAATTAATTACTTAAAAATCATACAATGTGATTTTCTGGATTTTTGTTTTAGATTCCGTCTCTCACAGTTGAAGTGTACCTATGATAAAAATTACAGACCTCTACATGCTTTGTAAGTAGGAAAACCTGCAAAATCGGCAGTGTATCAAATACTTGTTCTCCCCACTGTATGTATTTCAAGGCATTGAACTGAGGGATATACACTGCTCAAAAAATTAAGGGAACACTAAAATAACACATCCTAGATCTGAATGAATGAAATAATCTTATTAAATACTTTTTTCTTTACATAGTTGAATGTGCTGACAACAAAATCACACACAAATTATCAATGGAAATCAAATGTATCAACCCATGGAAGTCTGGAGGTCTGGATTTGGAGTCACCCTCAAAATTAAAGTGGAAAACCACACTACAGGCTGATCCAACTTTGATGTAATGTCCTTAAAACAAGTCAAAATGAGGCTCAGTAGTGTGTGTGGCCTCCACGTGCCTGTATGACCTCCCTACAACGCCTGGGCATGCTCCTGATGAGGTGGCGGATGGTCTCCTGAGGGATCTCTTCCCAGACCTGGACTAAAGCATCCGCCAACTCCTGGACAGTCTGTGGTGCAACGTGGCGTTGGTGGATGGAGCGAGACATGATGTCCCAGATGTGCTCAATTGGATTCAGGTCTGGGGAACGGGCGGGCCAGTCCATAGCATCAATGCCTTCCTCTTGCAGGAACTGCTGACACACTCCAGCCACATGAGGTCTAGCATTGTCTTGCATTAGGAGGAACCCAGGGCCAACCGCACCAGCATATGGTCTCACAAGGGGGCTGAGGATCTCATCTCGGTACCTAATGGCAGTCAGGCTACCTCTGGCGAGCACATGGAGGGCTGTGCGGCCCCCCAAAGAAATGCCACCCCACACCATGACTGACCCACCGCCAAACCGGTCATGCTGGAGGATGTTGCAGGCAGCAGAACGTTCTCCACGGCGTCTCCAGACTCTGTCACGTCTGTCACGTGCTCAGTGTGAACCTGCTTTCATCTGTGAAGAGCACAGGGCGCCAGTGGCGAATTTTCCAATCTTGGTATTCTCTGGCAAATGCCAAACGTCCTGCACGGTGTTGGGCTGTAAGCACAACCCCCACCTGTGGACGTCGGGCCCTCATACCACCCTCATGGAGTCTGTTTCTGACCGTTTGAGCAGACACATGCACATTTGTGGCCTGCTGGAGGTCATTTTGCAGGGCTCTGGCAGTGCTCCTCCTGCTCCTCCTTGCACAAAGGCGGAGGTAGCAGTCCTGCTGCTGGGTTGTTGCCCTCCTACGGCCTCCTCCACGTCTCCTGATGTACTGGGCTGTCTCCTGGTAGCGCCTCCATGCTCTGGACACTACGCTGACAGACACAGCAAACCTTCTTGCCACAGCTCGCATTGATGTGCCATCCTGGATGAGCTGCACTACCTGAGCCACTTGTGTGGGTTGTAGACTCCGTCTCATGCTACCACTAGAGTGAAAGCACCGCCAGTATTCAAAAGTGACCAAAACATCAGCCAGGAAGCATAGGAACTGAGAAGTGGTCGTGGTCACCACCTGCAAAACCAGTCCTTTATTGGGGGTGTCTTGCTAATTGCCTATAATTTCCACCTGTTGTCTATTCCATTTGCACAACAGCATGTGACATTTATTGTCAATCAGTGTTGCTTCCTAAGTGGACAGTTTGATTTCACAGAAGTGTGATTGACTTGGAGTTACATTGTGTTGTTTAGGTGTTCCCTTTATATTTTTGAGCAGTGTATTTCTAGGAAACAGAGGACTAAGAACTGAAATGATACAGTAAAAGGTACTGTTGGCTTTGATATTTTTTCAAAGTCAAGCCACTGCATATTTCAATGATTTCCTGCTCTAGATGCTGTTCTCTATTAAATTAAATTTTTAAATTTTAGTCATTTAGCAGACGCTCTTAACCAGAGCGACTTACAGTTAGTGAGTGCATACATTTTTCATACTTTAGTGGGCTTAGCTTCTGAACCATTGAGAGAGCAGGGCTGGGAGATTGACCGATCTTAAAATGCACAGATACCTGCTGGGCTGAATTTACCATTTGAATAGAGACCTCTCTCCTATCTAAAGATTGTGCTGGCAGGTCACTGCAGCCTAACCTAAATGACCTAACCTAAATAACTATAATCTTCTCAATACAGTCTGCTGTCCCCACATGCTTCAAGATGGCCACCATTGGCCCTGTACCCAAGAAAGCAAAGGTAACTGAACTAAATGACTATCGCCCCGTAGCACTCACTTGTCATTACGAAGTGCTTTGAGAGACTAGTCAAGGATCATATCACCTCTATCTTACCTGCCACCCTAGACCCACTTCAATTTGCTTACCACCCCAATAGATCCACAGACGATGCAATCGCCATCACGCTGCACACTGCCCTATCCCATCTGGACAAGAGGAATACCTATGTAAGAATGCTGTTCATTGACTATAGCTCAGCATTCAACACCATAGTACACTCCAAGCTCATCATTAAGCTCGAGGCCCTGGGTCTGAACCCCGCCCTGTGCAACTGGGTCCTGGACTTCCTGACGGGCCGCCCCAGGTGGTGAAGGTAGGAAACAACACCTCCACTTCGCTGATCCTCAACACTGGGGCCCCACAAGGGTGCATGCCTAGCCCCCTCCTGTACTCCCTGTTCACCGACGACTGCGTGGCCATGCACGCCTCCAACTCAATCATCAAGTTTGCAGACGACACAACTGTAGTAGGCTTGATTACCAACAATGACGAGCCCGCCTACAGGTAGGTGGTGAGGGCTCTGGGAGTGTGGTGCCAGGAAAATAACCTCACTCAACATCAACAAAACAAAGGAGATGATCGTGGACTTCAGGAAACAGCAGAGGGAACACCCCCCTATCCACATCGACGGGACCGCAGTGGAGAAGGTGGAAAGCTTCAAGTTCCTTGGCGTACACATCACTGACAAACTTAAATGGTCCAACCACACAGACAGTGTTGTGAAGAAGGCACAACAGTGCCTCTTCAACCTCAGGAGGCTGAAGAAATTTGGCTTGGCACCTAAAACCCTCACAAACTTTTACAGATGTACAATTGAGAGCATCCTGTCGGGCTGTATCACCGCCAGGTACGGCAACTTCACCGCCCGCAACCGCAGGGCTCTCCAGAGGGTGGTGCGGTCTGCCCAACGCGTCACCGGGGGGCAAACAACCAGCACTCCAGGAAACCTACAGCACCCGATGTCACAGGAAGGCCAAAAGGATCATCAAGGACAACAACCACCCGAGCCACTGCCTGTTCACCCCGTTATCATCCAGAAGGCGAGGTCAGTACAGGTGCATCAAAGCTGGGACCGAGAGACTGAATAACAGCTTCTATCTCAAGGCCATCAGACTGTTAAATAGCCTTCACTAGCACATTAGAGGCTGCTGCCTATATACATGGATTAGGAATCACTGGCTACTTTAACAAATGGAACACTAGTCACTTTAATAATGTTTACATA